GAGATGTAATATTGGCCCCGACTTCCGTAAACGAGTTTAAGATTGAACATGTTACACGAATAATGCGACGATCCGAAACAAGCAGCCATGCCTTTCGACTAATGCTGAGCTGCGGGAGGAGCTGGCAAGATTTCTAGAAACGTCATGACAGTTAGATGGCAAGATGGCACCTCGGGGGATTCACTCTTCTCCGATTGTTTCGTGAAGAATATCATGCATCGAGTTACCTCATGTTGAATCGGCTAACTGTCTTCTTTCTGTAATCTTCTTCGGCTGTAGGCAATCAGGCGAATTACCTTACGAAGAACTATTGCGTGGCAATGCACCGTACCGTAGTTAACTAAACTGGCCAAATCAGATTGAAACAGAAATGATTCTATACCTAGGCTTGATATTCAAGAGGAGGGGAAGAGACGCGTACGAAACGAGGCTCTCGCTCTCATTGTATATTGTTGGTGTAAAGGTTTCGATAGGGATAATCCCGTCCAATAGCCCGCTCGTGTGATGTGACGTTTATCCGCTCGTAGTACAGAGCGACAACGGTGGAGTGTCACCGAATACACAGTTCTATATAATAATAATAATAATAGTAATACAAAGCGCATGTGGCAGGAGAGCAAGCGGCAGCAGTAGCAATCACGCGTCACCGTTCTAACATGTTGCATTCTATGTAGTCCACAGAAAGTAGACAAGGCTGCGAGTATATATTGTCATCACATCCACGCCGATGGGAAGGCTATGCGACGAGCAAGGTAGATCCACTATAGATGGAACGACTATCTGTCGTTTTAACGAGTACTGGTAAGCTCTATAGCAGTGCAAAAGGCTAGTTCAAACGGCTGAACCCATCTCAAGCTATGTCGATGCGGTTCACTTCAGAGCTGTACTAAATATTTGTACACAGAATAGATTGTGTGTGTATTGTGATCTATGCACCAACTAAAACGGAATACAGGTCGTAGGTAAGAGACATAATAAACTCTGGAGAGCTCAGAGGAGTGCCGGCCGATCAGCATCAACCAATCCTTCAGATCCTGTCACACCGAGACTGTCGCGCGTTTCGTTCAACTGCACAGAATTTTCTAGTTCGAATAATGGCGCTAGCTATTTAGGCTTAGCTACCTAGATACCTTTTTATCTAGATATATTTTGCGTATGGACGCGTAGATGATATTTAGTTGTCATCCATTTCTCTCTGAAAATACGCCGCTGCTGGTGTATTGTAGAAGCTAGCAATGAAGACTTGGCTAATATTGCAGGTGTTCATTGCTATGACAAGAAAAGACGCAAGTACTGCTCCTGATTGTAATAGCGTCTTTTAGGGGTTTTTTAACAAGCTTCCAGAATGACCTTGATAGACCTTCAACGAAAACACAGTTACGACTATAGCTAGAAATATCAAAAACAGCCTATAACAGGTTCACATATCTATACAGCACTTTCCCATCTCATTTATGCAGCACAAAAATTGTCTCATCTGGTATTACATAATACGATAGTCAATATGTTATGCAAAAAAAGTCTACAGAGCAATAGACATCCCGTTGTTAACATTGAGAGTTCTTATATACTTCATTTTTAAAACTAAAGAATAATTATTTCCCTGTGTGAACGTCCTACACGTGAATCTATCGACCGCTGTTTTTAGAAATGAAAACCTGGTCTTATAGTTTTCAATAGCTTACTGCTTTACGTTTAGCCGAACCATTCTGTCATGTAGTGTCTAAGAATAACCGCAGCAGTTCTTTTACCCCTGAGGATTCCTCCTATGGGCTCAACTTTATCGTAAATGCCCTCAATATGCGAGACGTCGTCTCTCTCCCATTTCTCTGAGGGAAGAGCTTGAAGCCAAAAGTCTTACAAACAATACATGTCATTTATTTTCGGGCTAGAAAAGAGCATACGTTCTAGGATTGATCGACTATTAGCTGCTGAATTAAATTTATGTAGACCAGTTTTATAATACTACCTACACTGGGTTTATCCCACAGAACGAGTCCTCCTGTTCCCAATATCCATTTCCTCCAGCGTGATCTCTAATTATGACTATGCAATCAACGACATTGCTAATGAAACTCAGCCAGTTCTGCCAAAACTAGGACGCCAACGAGTGGCCTCTACAATGGCTATCTGTCACTTGAACAATCAACAGATCCCTCGACACCTCTTCAATTTCTTGACGACCTCATTTGCTATGCAATATCAGTGATGGCACGCCTGGTCGCCCGACGCCTCGGCCCGCAGATACTCGCCTGTTGAATGCTTTCCTGCTCATGTGCCAAGAATCGTTTGCCGCTAAACAAGCTGAGCCCGAAAGGCCTGATCGTTCAGACATCGCAGATGATGGCGTTCTGGTGCTTTAGGTTCAGGTATAGGCAAACAGAGTGATACGGATCCACTCCCTATCAATACCTACAAAGCAAATTAGTACTATTAACTGACGCTGTGCTAGTTCGTCCGCAGTCCGATAAGTCTAGCCGCTTGACCATTGCTTGCATGTCCCACCGGTGTTCTGATCAACTGAAGGGAACGCGTCCAGAGAACACGAAACCAGAATGAAGGTGGGCGGCGATGGGTCCGGATGGATAGATCAATGCTGAAGGTCCGACGGGATGTATGCTGCCATACAACAATAATATCAGCTTTCGGCACGATATATATTTACATAAAGTACCAAGCCTGCTTACTGCCCGACCCAATCAAAAATATGTCCCAGTAACAGAGCTGGACTAGCGATTAACAGGCTTTGTTGTCAAGCTGTCATCGGACTGATAATATTAGCGCGACGAATTTGTGGACGACAAGAACACGATCTTCGATCTCACATTTCTGACAGATATTGAAACTCTGTTGGAACGATGAGGGGCGTACACGGTATTAGTGTTCCTTTGGGCATAATATATATTATATAATAAATAAAAAATAAGCCATTGCCTGCTGTGATACTGCGTTGTAGGTAGACACCGGACCTATCTCATGTTTTGTAAACTGCTGCTTTCGTTAGTAATTCCAAAAGTTCAAAATGAGATAATAACAATAACAATCACCTCTGTACATTTAAATGTATATCTCTATAAAAAAAAATTAAGTTTGTTGATCATGTTGCCAATACTTCTACGATTCTTCTGATGCATTATGTAAGTGTTGGCTGAAAAAATTTCTATAAGCTTTAATGTCGGCTGGCGGGAAATACCTTTTCGGCACTTATCAAATCAATTATAAAACAGTAAAAGCTTAATTGCAGTTGGAGCACATAATCGCAGGACAGCTAAAACATGACAGCGCATCACTGACATCAGGTTGATTGACGACAAGTCGCGGAATTTCGAACAATTTAGCAAAGTAACGAAAAAAGCATGGGGTTTACTGAAGTAAGCAGAAGAATTGTTTAAAAAAAACTGCAATGAAGCGTTCAAGATAACTGCAATGGTTTAACGATACTTCGAAGTTAAGATAACGAAGTTAAGTAAGAAAACTTGGATTCAAACACTTATGATACAGGTTTAGCGGTGGCAGACATTCGGTTCACATTGATGCAAACAATAGAAACCCACATTTGCATAGAATTATAAGGATGTCTAATCCTGATTGTTTATGCATTAATCTATGCTCCGGGATAATCCTAAATCTCGTAAACATATGATGCCTATTGTCCTACTGAATTTATTGTCTAAGCGATTTTTTAATACCTAAGTTTCTCACAACCTGCATGGTTAGAACTCTTTGACTTGCGCGCGCCATTCTTCCCGCCAAACTGACTTTGGACTAAACTCCGCCAGATGCATTCGCGTTTCTAAGTTGGCTCATTATGATTGCATCACTATTCAACTCGGTACGTTACGTATTCAATCTGCTAATTCGATTTTCTAGAAGTAGCTCCAGTCCTAAACGTAACAGAGAAACGGTAGCCAATAGTATAACTCACTATCTCCACTACCAGCTTCTGCCAACCTTATTTCAAACTTATAATACAGTAATAGAAATGCATTTGAGTTTCCTTCTGAGACCAGATGAAGATATCGAAACCACACTCTCTCAACACAATCGCTCTCTGTCGCTTCGTAGGGACGAAAACCTTCTCTGTTCATCATTTGTCCGCTGTGATTACGGATGGAGCGCGTGCTAGTGCCCGAGGCGGCGTAGGCGCCTTAGCACATCCAGGCCACCTCGTTCATCCTAGTCTGTTTGTCAGCACAGCCCCTGACAGCGTAGAGCCATGCGAGAGTACGACATTGCCATCGCCACTGAGGGTAGTGGAAGTAATGGCAGTAATGCCGAAACGCCGAAATCCAACCAACCGTATGTCCGACCAAGCAAGCGCGTCTCTACTAGCATTAGCACGCAGCAATATTAGTTCACCCCTTCTTCTCCCGTTGGAGGCTTGCCTATATGTGCGCAACCCCATGGTACCTTGATGTATTTCCAAGCAGGCCACTCTCCCTTTGGCATAGCCGTATCCCGTCTGCTCGCTTGCCCTGTGCGGCAAGGCAAGTTTGGGTCTTGCCAGACGACTCGAACGATGCTATTTGGCTTTTAGCTGACGACAGCGAGAACGGATACGGAGAGATTCTTTCGCGACTGCTCGAACAGGATGACAAACACAGCTTGTCGGCGCCCATTGGTTGCCCAGAACTCCTAACAGCGGACTGCAGTCGGACAGAAGTCGCAGGTCACCCTGCCATTGTAGCATGCGTGCGAGTCCTGCCCGCTAGTAGCTGGAAGAGCTGTTAGGTTTGTAACTTTTCAGTACGCTATTTGTAGCGTAGCTTTATGCATGAGAAACGCATACATTTATTACAAAAATAAGTTGTCGGATACAAAAAAATTGTATGTCCGACGAGTAGAAAGGATAAATACCCTAAAATCGTGCGAAAATAGACTATATGAAAGCATTGTATATATATATATATATATATATATATATATATATCATCTCTTTTGAAATTATATACACATGTTGTTGTAATGAAATACTCTGGTTTTACTATTAAAGAGTCTTCCATAATGTGAACGCGAAATGAAGTACTACATTTTTCTCTATTACCATTACTATTTTAAAGTACATTTTTATTATCACAGTGTGTTCACAAACTTCTCTATTGGCTAAAAGCAACCCCCAGATGTAGGACATTTACGACGTAAACCAATGACGCAGCAAATTAATTATAGTGATTCGCCTAAATTTCTTTGAGCGTGTCTGCGACTAGATTGGTACTAGCGTCTGACAACATGGAGTCGATTGTGTCGTAGAGGGTTAACCCTCCACGAATGATCATACCAAGAAGCACACGTAATCCGCGAAAAAAGGCGCGTAGAAGATCGGCAAATGAGGTCCCATTGAAACGGACCATACCTCGAAAGTAGAGGCCTAAAAGCATGGCTGTTAATATCACTAGAACTATGCGAAGTTCCTGCCACACCTGCAAAGTTAGTAAAAACGTAATCCACAAAGAATGAGATAATTTTAATATATCTCTTCTATCTCTAATTTGCTACCTTAACACTATGTCTACCTCTTGAGTGAATCCGCCATAAAATACTTTCAACTATTCGGATGTGCAACGTCTGCACACTGTGTGCTTATTGAAGAAGTTAAGCTGAGACCTAAGTAAGTATCATACCAACCTGCTTGGGTATCCCATCTAGAAGATCTTGCACCATAAGTTGGATCAGATGAAGAGCATTACTGAACACGATCCGCAGTTCTCGGACAACGTTGCGCCGTTCGCGCCGCGAGAGACCAGCCTCCCCTTCTTCGTCGCCGAATGGTGTTTCTTCCTGACCGTCAACTCGATTCGACGGCGCAGTTTCAGTTGGAAGAGGCGCTGGTTGTTGTACATCCGATTGGGACTCCTTGCCGTGACTTTTTATTTCTGCCTGAGCTATTCTCGGCTTCGTAAGCGACTCCTCGATCGATGGCGGTCGGTAAAGCGGGGCCCGAAGCTCCGGCGGAATTGCAGCTACTTTTGTGGACAGTTTTCGAGTGAAACCTGATTTCGACGTGAGCTCGTGTGCGCTAAGTGCAGCGGTTGTTGTAGCTTCCTCTAAAAGGATACCGCGTTGCTCTTTATCAAAGAACTCTTCGTACATCGCACTGACATCATCGCTGGCCAACGAGGTCCGTCTGAAAACGGTCGTTTTGGCGTTAGCCCGGTCACGACAACTACTGTAGGGGGAATTCTGCGCTTCCAATGGCCACTCTGGCGGGCCAAATGTTTTTAACCCTGTCGCTTCTAAATCACCTTTATGAGCGTGTTCTGATGTCACTGCTGTATTGTCTAAAGGCGCTGACTTTGGCTGAAAAGGCGGGATTTCAGGCACATAGTATATCGAAGTTTTTGGCGGGCTCCTAATTTTTGCGGATTTTCCTCGCTCAGTTGTAGTTAAATCTTCGGTGCTCGGCGACCAGTCCCGAAAATCGATCACTGGTGGAGCACAGCTGTGTGTTCGGATTCTTGTCTGCTTCTCTTCCGAAAGCCTATTAATGAACACTTTTGCTAGCATACCTTGAGGAATATCCACTGGGCCCTGAAGGGCAGGCCCGACAATCTCTGAAGGTAGTGTATGCTTCTGTTTTTCGTCCTTTCTGTTAAAACTGAAAAATTGCCCAAATTTGGATTTTTTCGTTGGCGTTGTCGGTTCTCGCGCACTCAGCGACAGAGATATTTCAAGTTGATCTGACCGCCTACGCTCAGTGTTTTCGTTTGTCGGCTCCTCATCTGGCTTTTTTTTCTCAAAAAGCCCTTGTATCTTACGCATAATCTTCGATGGCTTACGTTTAATTGGCTGATCCTCATTATCTTCATTACATGGGTAATTTTCGTCGTCATACCAGTCTTTAAGAGACTCTGGAGAAATTGTGCCTAGATGCGATTCATCGAGGACCTCCCGGTGGACAATCGGAGCAGTAGCAGATGACGCTAGTCGTGAGGTATCGTGAGCATTCTCACCTTTCACTGCTGAATTAGAAGGAGTTTTGGGAGAGGGAATTCTATCCACACTTACATGCGGCGTAGGCAGACGATTTGGTGATTGCTGCTGTAAAAGTAGCGGCTGCTGTGACGACTGTTGTGCGGACTGTGACTTTTCAGCTTGCATATGGGGCGTTGCATTTGCCAACGGCATCGAAAACTGCAGTTTAAATGACTCTTGAAGCATCTGTGTTGGGGCCTGTTCCTCTTGCTGAGGCCACCCTTTTTCCTCACTGAGTATAGGCTCGACTGTTGTTGAATCAATCTCATTTATCTGCCGTTTTGCACTCGACTGCGATTGAGTCTTTACAACAGGCTGAGGCGATTTGTTCGGTGCCTTCGGGACAGCACTAAGCGGAACAGTGATTTGGGGGCCACTTGGGTTGACATAAGGAAGTGGTTCTGATGTAGATTTTTGCACAACGACCGGGAGCTCCACCACTGGAATAATCTCAGTCTTGGGTGATGATTTTCGTTGGGTTTCTATTGAATGTATAGGCGCGTCAACCGGCGTCATTAACAAAGGAACTCGATTGGGAGACGGTGTTCTAGATGGCTTTTGGGCGTTGACCACTTGAACGGACAGATGTTCGCGCGCTTGAGTAATAATGTTTTCGGTTTCTTTTTCCATGTCGACTAGCTTTATTCTACGAGGTTGGTCGTAGATTGGAATTTCGGTCCGTTGCATATTTCGCACAGTTTTGGCTTCCAGGACGGGCTCCGAGGGTGGCATACGAGGATAGATAACCTTAGTATCAAAGATATCATGCTCAACGACAACGTCTAGTGACGGTTGAGTAGTTTGCACGGAACTCCTCAGGGGATCCTCTGATGTAGACACACTGGGCCATTCGCAGCCTGGTGTGCTTTCCTTGCTCCGAAGGGATCCGGGTCGAAGGCGCCTAACGGGAGGTGTAGGCCGCCCGACCAACGATCCTTGACGAGACCGTCGCCGTCTTACTGAAGGCTGGGGATAAAGTCTGGAATTCTGCGGGTCCTGAAATTCGTCCGACAATTACTCTCTTAAATAGTTTATATAAAAGAAGTTATCAGAATCTCGGGCATGTATGAACATTAGCAATACACTATCATTTAGCAAAGGTGAAGAATATACGTTAAAAACATGTGTACGAAGGCACCTCTGGACACCTCCGAGAACGCATATATTAACCTACCGCAAATTGACCTGAAACGTTGTATTTTAGGCGCAAATACTGCAACAAGTTCTCATGCAACAAAATATTGTTAGCCTGCTATAAAGCCGACAGACTGTCACGTATTACTTTTGATGAAGTATTACTTTTATCGTAAAAATCTCATAAACACACAAACTTATCATTCGAAAAGACATGGTGCAGTTACGTAATGAGATACTTGCTTACTGCGTACGTGGCAGCGTAAAACATCGATCAAGAAAAAATGATTTTTTTTTTTGATGAATCTGAAAGCGACGAACACATGTAGCTGGCCAAGTCAATGAATAGGCCAACAAAAGTATTTTTTTGGTATTCGGCCATTCGTCTTCATTGATTTATTCGATTCGTTAGATGTATCTTAGTTGGTCACTTAGTTGATTGTACGGAATAAAATACCACTATCAGTATCTACCTAATGAGCAATATCGCCGTCGGAGAAATACGATCCACCACTTTTAAACCCCCTGTAGCTGAGATGATTTATTCCTTCACATAGAAATATCATGAATAGTACTAACGCTATCCTGATCTTGTCATCGAGTTGCTTTTGCTGTGTTCGTTCTGCTCTACCTTCTTGAATACCAACATTCCCCTCATTCGCCGCCTTACCTCTAACCCCCTATTGAGCGCACCGAATTTGAAATCGAGGCCACTTGATTTACGAGCACCATCTTCCACCTGCATCTCTGTATTCAACAATGGTTTGAACAACCAAGTGTTCGTGTGTGTTATGTCATTCAATTGCGATTTGTCGTTTTCAACGACTCTTGCAAACGCCCTGCTACGAAGAGGTCGCAGCCCGTTAAAAGTAATCGAGCTCTTATCGAGATGACGAAATTGCGTTCCATTTTCGAGGCCGTCTCGTCAAAGTCCACGGGACGAGGGCATATTACGCATATAGTTACTCAGTCAGCACACAAAGAGCTATCATAACCACAGCTTTGTGTTATTATTGCTCTAAAAACGGCCATTGCGAAACACAGAGTGTCAGTGTTAACATAATTTACCAGAAAAGGTTTCGTTAAAGTATCTATAAAATCACTATCCACCATCATGTCAACAATACTCTGTAGTCTGTAATAAAAATTATCTGTAGTCAAAACTGGTGACATTCATTTATGGCTTATCGAATTCTGCATAAAAACATGGTTTGGAATAAAACACTATTTATTTTTATATTTGTGTCATATATTGTCCTATTTCTCGGAGTCTAATATAGTTTTTATCGGGAAACGTGTAGACAACTTTGCAACTTAAAGTGTGAACGATCACGCTATTATGACTCTTGATGCATATAAAAAAATCGTGTTTTGCGAAACCTGCTTAAAGCATAATTATAAACCAATCTTAGCGTACCTGAGTTTCAAGGACTTGAATCATGGAGGCCACTTTAACAGCTGCTTCAGGCTCGGCGCTAGAATCTCTGCGACGAGCCGGAGCCGGTTGATCCTGAAGGTAATGGTGCGGAACTCTCCTCTGGATAGGTACTTCGTGAGCTACGCTATCCACGAACATTAGGTCATAATATCTAATCATCGAATTAATAAGCCTTTATAGATTAGATAGAACTCGCTTATGCTATACACATGTCATTTTCTATTTTGTCCATGTACAGCTTTTAGACAGGACCTTATCGCCCATGTATAATAAATCTGACTTGTCAAGAATGTCTAATGTCCTACGGAGGAGGAAAAAAATTAGAGGCATACTTTCCGCTGCGTCCAGCGTAAACAGACGTCTTTAGACTTTCTGCATTTGCCGAAGCAAACCTTGACGGCTTACAGATTATCGGCGTATCCTGTGAAAAAGTTCCGATGTTAATTTAAAGCAGAAAACAGTACGACTTGGGTTAGCTTGCATTTAATTGTGAGGCACAAAATATAGCTCCGATTGTAGGACTTACATTGCGATCAGCGTATGATATCTGTCATGTAATGAATGCTGGTATACTAAACTAACGTTCATTAGAACTTACGATCATACGGATATACAATCACATTGATTTAACTTCAATTCAACACCATAAAGCTTGAAATAGAGCATAAGGTTCGATTTAAAAAGCTACCATTGGACTCGCTACCGAAAATGTATTCGAATTTGCCCCCACCTCGAGACACGCAATAGGTCACTATTGGAAATATAGGTACAAGGAAATTTCAGCCTTGGGGAATAGTTGCATATTATTAATAACTAATTCATCTCACAAACGGTCTCGTAGGCACTGTTTTGGGTAGATTTCGTATACGTTAAGAGATCATTTTTGTGTACGAGATCAACACGAATATCTCTCTTTATAAATACACACAACACCATTAGAAGAGATTATTGATTGCAAGGAAACATCTAGTTTAATTTGGGATTTTTGTCGCTATAAAAAACTTAGATAACCATCAATAAAGCAGCACTCATTATCTCGATTGACCTGGAAGTTTCTAGTTTCCATCTTTTTCCCCGTCCATCGTAGCAGACAAAAATCGGCTTATACAACGAAGCGAACAATTAAAGGAGATAGGGTTCCCCCGAGCACAATTGCTGATATTCCTGCAAGTATTTCTATCTAACCTAACCTAAATAAAAGAAAAAGTCGTTCACTTTTTAGATGCATTAAAGTATTAACTAAACCTTAAGATAGCTGCACGCGAGGTCTCAAGCCCGTGAAACGATTAAAAGCACTTCGACGATTGGATCCCTAAAACTGTAGATCTCTCTTTTCTGTTTTCTTAATTCGCACCGTCAAAATGTACTTATAGTTATTTTAAACTTTTTTACATGCTACACATTATCTCCTACTGACTTCCTTATGCCAACAACTCTTCGTTACCATTGCGCAGCAGCAATAAGGTGCATAGGAAGAACAAAAATCGGAAACCTTTTGAAAAATTATTTCCTTTGATGATCACCCAGTCTCCGCCCCAGTGGCCACATCACTTTGTTACAAATACAACAACGCAAAAGACCAGCAGTATTCGATAGAAACACACTTCTAAATTAAGACACGCACATCAGAATCAAACGAAAATATCTATGGACAGCCTGCGTGGACGGCAACACCGTTCATCTCCTGTCGTCCTACCACGCATATGCTTTGGGCGACGCACATACATAGGCTTATTGGGAGATTACTATTGTTGATGCTGCGACCCTTTCCTCAACACGCATTCGGTTTCATACCGTCTTCCTACGCCTAACCACTTCGAAAACGACTGATTTCTTGTTTTATTCCGCCTTTTTACACACACATATGGTTATTAGAAGCACACAGACAGACACACGTATACATATATGTATATATATATATATATATATATATTCACCATGTTTCCTGTTACTACTGTTTTTTATAGATCGACGCACGACATATTTGTGGTAAGCAATGTCACCATTTTCCAGACTACTATAAACACGTCTTAGGACAACGACTTCGGGAGAATGCACACAGTACAGGAAGGTAAACCTGTTTCTAGGTATAAGTCGTTCGATTTATAGGTAGTATCTTGGCCAGTAGTTTAGCCGGACGCTGTGTAGCTAGATTGCAATGACAAAATATCTGAAAAATGACGAGAATATTAGCGTCTTTGTTACAAATAAGGTAGAAGCAACTTTAAAAACCTGAACTTGCTCACTTTACTTAAAATGTTGTACGAAATTTCGACCCTTTACCATTCTGCAATTGCTTTCGGGCATGGTACACATTATCGTTTTCCTCAAAATGTGATCCGGTTGGCGGCGATGGAAGTGGCATGAAGAGGTCCTACCATCAGCATCGTTACCAGCAAAGCCAACAGTCAGAGTACCGGTCCTAGTGTGTAGTGAGTTAGCTGTTTTCGGCTATCTAGTCTCGCTCGGTTTTCTGTGACAATGACAACGTCGCCAGCCACCATTGAAACCTGTGTCGGAAACCCGAGATCGGCGCGGTCGACTGGCCGACCCAACGTCAGAGAAGGGGAGATAACGCTGAGAGACGCACAGGGTCGTTATTAGGTGAGCGCGGAAGAGCACGACCGGACATGGCATATCGTTGCTTTGGCCAGCTACAGCCACTTGACTTTGGCCCAAACAGTCGCTCGCTTTCTCCTTATCTAGCGCTTTTAATTGCAGGGCCTCCTTCCCAAGTATAGACCTTTATAGGTTAAAAAACCCTTGGAAAGCCCTCCGAGCAGCATACGAATAGGCTTAAGGCTAGAATAACATCAAAGCAAAGGGAGTTCTGTACTCTGACTAGCAAGCCCCGTCGACTCAGAAATATCTTGGTGGACATAGAATATCAGTATTATTACAGATAGCCATGGACATTTTACTGGCGCTGAGAAAAAATAGACAGCTTTGCATCCACAACTAGACAGTCATGAGGACAACACCAGATAAGTATGCTACTGCCATTACCGACAGCTGCACCTAAGCATGGGTCCAGTTAACAGATTTTTTTAAATCCCCGAGGCTCTTTCAATGATGTTTAATTGCCGCTACATAACTAAATTTTTACGTCCGACACCGCCACTGGGCGTTTTATTCAACGGCTAGCACCCGCTAGCTTTTGCCATGTTCATCAATATGGCTCATCGTTGTCAATCCGTACAGTATTAAATACGTATCGGGTCGCAGTAGTACAAGGGAAATGGCCGTTGGCTGATAAATGGGAATGTGTCACAAAAAGAAGACTTATATATATATTTATAGATAATAGGCGTAATATAAATATTTTAGAAGTATGTCTCAACCATGCGTTGTGATACGCGGACAGGGCCGCTAGGTAAAGGCGATATAGTGAAATATTTTAGTTGACTAATGATGAATTAACTATCAGATAAAAGGACATAAGCAGGTCTAAATGGATAATTTGAATCTTACGTCCGGTACTCTTGTTAAGTCTTTCGAGATATATATGTAGGTCTGATTATTAAACTTTTGCTTATTTAGTCAGGAAGCACACGTTTAAAACGTTGCTACCCATCATAGAGCTGCCGCTTAAAAATTTGCTTGCTTTAAAAATTGTCATGGCTTGTACCCGTCGATGTATGACGACTTTATCATATTTCTTTTATTCATTTTCTTTTAATTTCTCAAAAAAACATGAACCGAAGTGTTAGATGCATAATATTTAAGGTATATAGCCGTTATGTAAACTTTTTTAATTTTTAACTTATATTTTCAGTAATTTAAGATATTAAGAACTCGATGTTAGCACAAGTATTTTGGAAGTACTGTTACGCTCACCAGACTGTATAACGTTACTTCAGCCATACGACGATGAATTTACGCTAGGAAAGCAACGTAAATCGAAGTCATAGGTACTTTTATAATTTGGTGAATAGGGAACACGTGAGCGACTCAAAGGAAACGGACTCGAACTCTCCGAATCGAATAGGCTAGACTAATAATGAGATAGTGAAGCTGAATAATTTAGAGCATCATCTCACCGAAGTCTTACGCTTGCTGCTAACTTTAGGGGCATGTAATGGTCTAGGATCGAATGCGGACATAGACACAAGCTTCGTTCCTTGCTGGTATTCAGCTGTTTGACGGAATGGCACTTCCGCGCATAAATCTCAAAACCATTAGGGCACTGCTAATTTTAATTAGACCCTTCTATTAGAGAAAAATAAATAATGCCAGGCTAGTTGACTTTCTTTGGTGGCTAAAGCCAGTATGTACACCTATATAAACAGCGCACCAGTAGTACATGTCTGAACTCCGTACATGTACATCTACACCCACTTCTGCACACAACTTGCTTTAAGCAGGCCTCAAGCTCTCAAGCATTTGTTAAAGCAGTATTGCCAAGCCACCACAGTAACTAGTCGTTTTGCCGCTAGCAAAATCCTAGTCAGTCATTAACTTGTTCCTCTCTCGTTAGGACAGCGTCTAATCTTGTATGCCTTCTACCGAAGACCTGCAGCAGAATCAGCTGTAGAATCCCTGGTATTAGCTGGTGCGGAAGCAAGAAAGAGGCAAGCGAGAGTAACTCTGTCTACCCATTCATCCCGTGCGAGAAGCAATAGCCGATAATAGCAGTCAATGTCTCCTTTTCTTAGGCCGGTCGCCATCAGCGCAGGATAGCAGTGCCTCACACTGCTGATGTTATGTGCGGCGAGAGTCCCCACCAACCACGAACCAGCAAAGTGCTCTGAGGGGTCGTCCTCTTTCCTAGGTTATCGCTGTTGCAGCCGCTGCTGCAGCCGAGTTATCCGAGACGGACAAATTCAATCGGAACACCGCCACCTCGCCACCACCGAATCCGCCGCGACCCCCGCACCGCTAGCTCCGCCCCTTCAACACAACACAGCCAAGAACTACCGACAACGAAACGAGAAGGAGAAAGCCTTTTCAAGCAATAAGTAAGCTGGAGTGGGGGTGCAGAACGTGGAGAAAACCCAACCTACGAAAGGGACCTCGACAGAAACCTAAGAGCTCACTTGGAATCTTCTTTTGGCTTCTGCAGCCAGTCTCTCTTCCTCCTCTCGTGCGACTCGAACGATCTCCTCCGCTGCGAGACATCAGTGGCTCTTACCTTCTGATGTTCCTTACTGACTCCACAACAACGACTTTGAGATCAGCTAGCTGCAGGAGTTACTGTCGCTGCTGCTGCGATTGTAGTTGGCGCTACCAGGACAAAACGGACCGACAATTTCCTCCTGTCCTGCGGAAAATGCTAGGTTTATGCGGCTGTCTCGGGCAGGCGCTTTTGCGGCCCCGGAGCCTCTGCCCAACGGGGTCTATAAATGTTGCCATTTAACAGGTGGATAGAGGAGAAGGAGCAACTGTAGGAAAAGCCGAATAGAGGCACGGATCCTCCAGCACAGCCTTGATGGGAATATGGGACGACGCGAGACGAGCTCAAAAAGGAACGCGTTTAGCGGATTGGTAATAGCAGCGGTTGCGGTTAGGTAGAGGGTGACTCGACTGGCGGGAAACCGAACAGTATAGCTAAAGCTTTTACGTAATTTTAAGAAAAAGTGATATAAAGTGAACGCAAATAAAGAATAGAACATCGACAAAATGTCTCTTTACGAAGTGCATACACACTGCGTATAGAGAAAAGCGTAGAATAAAGTAACCGACAGGAAGGATTTTAGAATAAGAGTCGAAGTCGTTGCTAGATAGGTATATGTTCTTGAGGAAAAGCTGTACTATAAAATATGTATTAAGCAAAACGAACTACGATTACAATTGAGTGTCGATGTTCTGGCCACAATTCTGTGTTTGGTCTGTAAAAAAAATTTTGTCTGTAAAAACATCCGCAATCTAGAGGTGCACAGTTACAGTCTAAACAAACTAGCTGTATCGTTTGCACTGTTAGAAACGCTAACTTTCGCTGCACGCTCTGTTTGAGGCATCTTCACACTAGAATCAATGTGAGTAAAACGTGGATGGATGAATTCAATTAGTGACATGGTTCTTCCAACTTGTTCAGTTACTCGGTTTATCAGCCTTGTGACTCCAATTGCGACTTGAAACGCGGGCTTCATAGGACGCACCTTGTTTGTAACAGAAGCTTGCTGAAGCAATAGGAAAAAATACGCCCCTTCTCTCAACGCAGCGCTCGGACGATACTAGCAGTCCAGTTATCCAAAACTGTAGTCTTCGCTTCCGAAACGAGGCCCAATGGACGAAGACCCAATTGCTATTGTGTTGTGGGACGCACAATACATTCCAAGAAGGCCAAGATAGAGATAAATGCCAAGCGATAGGATTACTTGCTACTACTCTAGCGAGTAAGGCCGTGAATCTTCTTTTTTTTTTCGTCTGCTAGCTCTCGTATTGTACATGCCCGTATCAAAAAAGGCTAGAGGCGGAAAAAGCGATGTACCAGCGAGATATCGCCTGCGTATGTAATGTTGAACCGACATTTGCACATGAAAAAGCAGGCTTTACTAGCCGACTGCAGGCAGCTCCAAGTTTCGCTGCTTCTTTCGGGTGTAGTGTTTGGTGTGGCATATGTGATGGTAGGCAATTGCAAATGGTACGGAGGCGTCTGCTATGGTAGTTAATGGCCTATGCAGAAGTGCAGAGCAGATACACTGTATTTCCTGCTGTAATGGTTTCAAGTACGTTTCGCAAGTATATGCGCATATTCTGCACGTGATAGGAAACATGGGTAGATAAAAATTGCATCTGGCAGTGCTGACTTTTAGCGTTTGCACTTTGTATGAGTTTCTATATATATATATATATATAACTTTCAGCTTATTATCACCAATATGCTAAGATAAAAAGTAATATTGATAAAATGACGAGAACATCTTTTCTTGCTTATTCAGTAATGCACGTAATTTCTGGCATGCAATACTACAATTGGACACTTCTTCCAGAAACTTGTGATCACACCAACTTGTTTTTAACCAGGTGTAGCGCGGGATAAATAACGTGCATGTGGCGTATATATCAAAGGTGACTATTCCTTCCGTAAAATAGTGAACAAAGTTCTCCACGAAATAGTTTCGCACCCAACGTACGTATCTATTTACCATGCGATATGCGGGTGGCTATGTCGGTGTGCATGAACGTCAAGTTCAGCAATCCTGTTAGAGCGCATCCAGGAGAACGAAACATCAGGACAAAGAGACAGGACGACGAAATTCACGCGCTGGCGAGCTCCAGACATCCGAGTTCATCCGCTCGTCGGCTTTTGCTGCTATATGAGCGTTCAGCACTGTCACTGTGTGTCTGTGCTATATCTTTGAGCACTGAAATCAAATTTTCTTTCCTTCGCATTCTCCCCTTCCGCATGAAGCAGTGATTCTTTTTCATCTTATGGCGGTTACAGCTACAGCCAGTACTTGCACACTGTACAATTCCTCGTATCCGCCCCAGGATCTGTCCGCTCTAGATCCTCGACCCTTCGCCTCTCTACCTCACCCCTTCCTTCTCTCTCAACGTGCTGAGATCTCGTTACGTCCGTTCCCCACTGTTCCGTCTCACCTGTGGCTTACTTACTTGTTTTTTCCTCTCCTTTTCCTTGTCTTCGGTGGTGTAATTCTGTAGCCCCTGGTACACCACCAGCTTGTCCATCTTCCAACGAGTTACAGCTCAGTCCCTCTGCAGCTGCCAACATATCAACGCTCGCACTAACGCCACTTTTGCACGAACGGCCGCGTTCCTTTCGGGGCATATTCTGCCTTTTGATTTTCTTCTTGGCTTCTTGTTCTTATGTGCTTATTGCGGCATGCGCTTATCCTGATTTGTCTACCTGGAACGACAAGTGCAGATGAAGGCAAATCCCGAATCATTGACGCCTGCGTTGAGAATATTCGCATGCTGTGTGGTGCGACTCACGACGGATTGGCAGAATAGCATAAAACATCCGAGACAACCCGCATAAAGGATTGCCGCTAGTGGTTGGCGAATAATCCAATCGACTCGTCATCACAGCTCACTGGGCATCAACACAGCTCTTACGAAAACTGCCCACTCCTTGTAGCAGTTGCAATGACGGCAACTCTATTCGAAGCAGTTCACCGGTGTGAACGGCAGGCGTCATCTGCTGTGGGGAACAAGGAACTTTTATCCATGAAAAATGATCATCGTTTTTGAATTCGATTACAAAAATAGCAACGTAAATATATCTTTAGTGCGGGCTAAAAGGTGTTCACAACAGAATGTGTAACGTGCATGAGAAAAAACATATATATAGCAGATTATAGGAATGAATACTAGTATATACATTGTCCTGTCATCCTGGGAGATACTAGCATGTACATATATATGTACTCCACATGGCTGCGTAAATACAATACAAGGATACCAGACGATAAATTGATTAAGTCCATCTTATATTTTATTGATCAAAACTTTTAAGTTTTTACTTTAAGATACATTTCTTGTTTTTTTTTTTTTTTCTTGCTTTTATAAATTCTATTGTAGCTTCTTCAACAATATGTTCCACTTATAAACTATTATTGTATGTTGCAGGTGTCGTTTGAAGTTTTTTTACAGAGATCTACAAAGCAGTTTAGGGTTGTTTTGGATTTACAGCACAGAATCGTTTTAGGTTCAGTTAATGAGACCTTGTCCAACTTGTCCGATATTTCATATCCTTTATTGCTATTCCTTCCACTTGAAGGTCTTCACGGAATTCGTCACAGCTTTTCAATAGCTTATCTCGCTCGTCTCCAGGACTTAAAGCTAACGCGAGCTGTCTCACTTCAAACCGAAAGTCCATCATTTTGTCAACGATGTTGCTTAGTTGGCTGTCTTCGGCAACGCCCGACATGGTGTCCAGCCGGAATCCCATAGTACAGTAATAGTTCCGGATATAGTTTGACAACGAAGCTACAGCAACATGTCCTGGAGCCATTTTACCCTCCTCGGTTTTTCTAAGCGCCTGCACTAGCATGTCGGTAAGTGCCACGATCTGGGCTGTAGCTCGGGCGAAGCTGAAGTCATCAGCCAGGGCCTTGTCCACGTTTTCCCTAGTGATGTTCAGTGCTTTAAGTAGATCATGTTGGCTGATGTCCGCCGAAAACCTCCCGCGCAAATAATCATCGCTAAGGGCTAGAGCATCGTTTAGCTTTGCTAAAGCCGACGCTGACTCAGATACGAGCTTGTCCCTGAAATCGATCTCGGCGCGTAAAGGAAACCTGAAGAGAGGCATGAAGACGATTAACAGATTAATCAGGAATTTAACAACCCACACCTAGGCTGTCGATGCTTTTAAGTATCCAGAATAACAGAAAGCTAGAAGAATATTTAAAGACATTTGCACTTATGAAATCTGGTATGTGTACTGGTATCATTAAACTTGTCCCGATCAGTAAGTGCACTTATCTACCATGTGATGCCTTCTAAGAAAACACTAAATGTTAAAACAAATAAGATTAGATAGGTAGATTTCACCCACAATCTATTATATAAACACGGTCTTCTCCTATGTCCATGAACTAAAACTAAAGCGTGTTTCAAGCACAGAAAGAAACTTCAAGGAAATATTAGACTGAAAGAGGACTTGCTCTTTTCTATCCGAGTTGATTTAAGTTTCGTACCTTAGGCAGATCATACGAAGTTTCTCTGCCGAATGGTCCTTCAAGAAATCTTTTATGTGAATAACATTGCCAATACTTTTGGACATCTTATCGCCAGACAAGCGCACAAAACCTGGGTGGATGTAGCACCTGGCCCAGGTCGATCGCTGATGAAATGCGCAACACTGTGCCTCCTCATTCTCATGGTGTGGAAATTCAAGATCCTTTCCGCCGCTGTGCAAATCTAAGTCATTACCGAACACCTTTGAACGGAAGTACAGTGACTGTATTATTATTATTATTATTATTATAATCACTACTGTAGTGGTACATATAAACGTACATTAATAATAAAAGCCAAAAACTTGTTTTCAACCTTTGAAGCCATAGCAGAACACTCGATATGCCAGCCGGGTCTGCCTGATCCAAAGGACGCAGTCCAGGAAGGTTCACCCGCTTTTTCCGGCTTCCACAAGGCGAAATCGCGAGCATTGCGCTTGACCCCTTTGGTATTTTGGTCAACGTCCACCTGACGAAATCGTGGATACGCAGAATCGCGGCTGGTGTCGAAAAATACGCCCTCAGTGGTCCTATACGCGTAGCCTAACCTCATAAGCTCCTCGATAAAGTGTACAATCTCGTTGATATGTTCCGTCGCTCGAAGAACAATCGATGGCTTACGAATATTCAGCGCTGCGAGGTCTTGAAAGAACGAAGCTTCATATTTTCGTGCCACCTCCAAATAGCTAATCTTTAGTTCTTGGGCCCTTTGGATGATCTTATCGTCGACATCTGTGATGTTCATCACGTAGACAACCGAAAATCCTCTGTGTTCGAGAACTCGACGGATTAAATCTAATCTGTTTTATATTATTGAAAAATAGAGAAAAGCAATGAAACTATTGAATCTAATAGTGCCGTTACAATGAAGACTCCTCACTTCTAGGGCTCTATTCTATTTACATTGACGAATCATAGTCGTCATCGACGATCAAGTGCTACACTCCGCTTGCTCAGCTTCGCGTAACAATAAAACATTTCTGAATAATCATATGTATTTAATGTATCTGTACAAAGGCTCATAATCAATGTATACGTGTAGAGCAGTGTGTATTTTTTAAGGCTAATTTTACGCAACCGGGTAACGCGTTTAATACTGCCCCTATCCGCTATTGCGTCAAGGAGAGGATTATAACAGGGTAACAGCAGCCTAGCCAATTCGTTGATTCGTTGCTAAAAATTTAACGAGACTGCGATTAATTAAGTCTTTACATCCGATGCGCAAACGATACGTCAAAGTCAATTCGAAATGTATATTTTTTTAATGCAACTGTACAGAGATTTTTCACATATAGTGATACCTTCATAAACCTTTATTTTTTTCCGCTAGCTTTAGTAGTTCTTAGATTATCTATGATTTTGCAGAGCGTTCTGTAGTTACGGACCTAAGGTAGCACAATGCATGGCCAACATGAGACTCGTCATACACAGTTGGACCGCAGCAGTACCAAGTAACCAGTTTATTCGTCTTGCATAACAATGGTTGTTTTCTCTTAGTTAGGGAATTGTAGACTTCGAATTGCTGCGAACTGCTTCCAGCTTCTGTTTGGGGAACCGATGGCTCTCTTGGGTGCCAGTTACATGATGGAACACTTTTTAGCGAAACGCTGGATTGGAAGCGTCGAGTGGGAGTCCAATTCCATAGTCCGACAACCTTCTGAATGCTTTTAAATAAACGCTGCATTGTGGTTATTATATTCACTTACTGGACACTTAATATTTTATCATCCGTAGGCACAACTGGAGACTCCCCCAGTTGCTGGTTTTGACTGCGTCAATCGACGTGATGTCTTTTATTCATGAATACCCTCAATTTCTTGAGATATGGTAAACTCATTTATCACAGTTGCACTTCCCTATTGTAAAAAATTGATTCCACATGGTTAGAAACAGACACAGGGATACTGCCGTACGATCATCCTTCTATACAGTCGAATTCACTGGGCGCAGCCATATTGGCAAGAAGCTCGTTTTTGTGTTGATTTGTGTGAGCAGACGACACTTGGTGACGACGAGTTATCACTGACAAGCGGACTCTGAGGGCGGTTTAATATGAAACATTCGATGATACATTGGCACATACCTTTTTTAACACTCCCCTAGAGTTCCGCTATATAAGTCTAAACAATTATCGGAAGGAGTTGGTGGCGAAATTAGTCATAAAGATTTGCTGTAGCCATACTTCTTCCATTGTTCATTTGTATTTACCATTGGTAAAGAGTTCCAGTCTTCGCCTGTCTGGGAGTGGGCGACGTGTTTTACAGAAGTGGTGGGCAAGTAGTGCTAGTCAATAGCGTGGTTCGTTTGGTCGTATCGTGTGTTCGCCCCCTGCCGTAAACAAAACAGTGGCAATTTTGCAAAGACGTCCAGTGTTTTCATCGTGTAATGTATAAGTGTCTGCCTTAGCAGTCTCATGTGCTGTCGTCTTTTCCCGTTCAGTGGTGCTAATTGGCTTTGTGTTGAACTATCACAGTCATCTGGGTAGTCGCTAGCCCATCGACGTTCGGTGGGCAGTCGGCCGTTGCTTGTCAGTAGAGCGGAGCAGTGGTGCAGTCATTCTACCTACTATCAATTTGCAAGTCTCTCGTTTTACCAAATTTGTCTAGGCACCCCAGCCTGGATTGTTCGGCTTGTTGATGTGTTTGCCAAACTGAAAAACCATTTACGAAACGTCCGCAGTGTACCTTCTCCGCGGCCGCTGTCCATTCCATGCTATTTTGATCTTTGCTGCTTCGCAAAAAACGATCAAGCACCGGTAAGTTGCGTTCCGTAGTGTAGTTAAATAGTATATTTCAGTCAGTACCGTCAGAATCTTTCCTTTCTGTTATTGGGTTATTAGTTAAATGAGCTAGAGTATAATATATACTCTGCTGTTTCTCATCGTTCTATTTGACGTGCCATTTTGGTTTTTGATTGCGAGGTTTTTGTGGGCTATCCTATAGACCGACCTATCCTATAGCCGCGAACATGCACGTTGAGAATTTTTTGAGTTGGCCACGTCAACTCTTCGAAGGCTTGCCGCATTCCGATGCGGCTGCGAAGAGTTTACGGACTGTTGCACCACCATTTGACGGGCAACACCGGTCACGCTAGCGACACGAAAGAGATGATGTTATGAGATAGCAGCTTCCAAATGGTACCTGCCCGTGCCTAGATCACACGTATTTTTTCAGCACGTTCCATAATCCAACGCTGTCCGCGGCATGTGATTGACCTGTTTGTTCACAGCAATGTAGAAACTGCGTATGGTCACAACACCTTTTCTGTGCTATATAAGTGTGCCGTTTTAGGTCAGCCCAATTTATGCTAATCATACGTTCCTGTGCTTTTTGAGCTATATTTGTGCATATTGATTATTCTGTCAGCTGCAGTATAATATTATTGTTATTATGCAGCTGCTTATTGATGATCAAATTAGAAACGAAGTTTTCTTGCACCCGTGTAGGGAGTGAAGCTATACGAATCAATATTGATACGTATATCGTATATGTATATTCCGCGATCTACGTATATCGGGGAGCTACAGAGATGGCGGAATGACTTATTGCAGGGCTTCTGAAAGTTCCTGAACTGGTGGTGCCGATCAAATCGGTGCGAGTGGTGGCTGCGTTGCAAGCTGCTAAGTCTCTACGGAATACAATGGTAAACGTTCGCGTAAATTAAGAGCGACGAGCGCCTTTAACCGTAAAAAAAAATACTCGACAAGGTTTGATGGTCTCGTTTATGTTACTCTGCCTTCGAAAAAAAAATATTAGCCATACGACGCTAAAGGGCAATAGAGTTCTTGATGTAGAATGATAAACATATCAAATCAGGTTTTAGATGAATCTGAGTGAGAAATGCCGCCTGTTCATATCTTCAATTACCATCAGTGGTATTTCCTGTTCCTACGATGAGACGCAACATATTTCAGCTTACGGATATCTTTCTCCGTGTGACTGGTGAAGCTGCTGTTTTTTCAAGTACTTTATTATGTTGTGTTCGCCGCTGTAGTATGACTAGATAGTTAACTTTCATTGGCGCACCCCAAACTGAGGCACTCCTTCTGAACGATGTTCTCGTTGATTCTCGACATTTGGTGACTGCATTAGGGTGTATCGATTATACTACTAAAGGTGTATATTCTGCCGTAGCAACTGTCAACGTTAATGTTCTTCGATTATCAAGGCAGTGCTTCTAAAAACAGTATGGATAGTGTAACAAGCTAAACCATTATATTTGACCTCTCGGTCCCATTTTTAGCGTGCTAATCGCTTGTGTGCTTCCGAAACGGGCTTCCTAGTCGCTGTAGATGGAAATATATAAAGCTGAAACTGGCTTACTTCAATATTTCTTATCGGAGCAGAGGCTTAAAGGTTCAAACAGAATTGACTCTGAATCACTGCAAAACACGGTCCGATCTACGAGCTGTTTGGTGGGGCCGATGCTGAAATCTGACAGCGAAGCGGCGCTGGAAGCTAGATGTGTAAACTGGAATTTGCATTAATACGAATCTATGTTAACCCATCTATGTTTATATACGAAACGGACTGGAGTGACAGCCAGTACGTACAATAGAATAGAAACATCGAATTTGCACCCGTGTAGATATGGGTATGGAAAAAATGGAAGCGTGTCCATTGCTTAGTAGGATAGATACTGTTATAATAGGCTAATTATCGTATTGAAACCAATCATTTATCCTGTTTGGATTTATAAATTTTGTAAATATATATCCTAGTAGTATCTTAGATTGAGGTTGAGCTAATATATCTGGCCAGAAGTTGTGACTATCTCAGGCTAACTAGCGCGTGAAGCGGTTTGACTTATTTTTCGTCAATAAGGTTGCGCAGCAATACAGATGGAGACAACCTCCTACGGTAATACATAGCCGATTCCCTATGAAGATTGCGCCCAAAATTTAATATAAGCGACAATAAATCGTGATTCAAGTCTTGATTTATCTGTTGTCGATTCTTGGCTATGTTTCAAAAAGCCACTAGTAAAAGCATTTACGATAGTAATCTACTAAAAATGAGTAATGTTTCGTCACTATATGTTCGAGTGTAGCATATATTTTCAGAGCATAAATTTAATTAGCTGACTTCTGTTTTGCAGTTGCACATGGCAACGTCAGCAATATATATTCTCGACTTGAAGGGGAAATCGCTGATTTGCCGGAACTATCGTGGTGATATCGAGAATAATGCAATTGAAAAATTTCTTCCTCTCCTCATGGATCGAGAGGAAGAAAGTTACTCGACACCGATCATTCGGCAAGGTACGGTTCTTAACTTATTTAACTGTAATTTTACTTGAGTTCATCTCTCGTCACACAGTTTCTATGAACAACTAACTATTAGTTCGAAATCGGTGCAGGATTAGCCATCAGCTCATCTTTATGGATGTTTTCATTCGTCTTTTCTAAGGAACCTTTGCTAATGAACTAGAACTGCCGTTTCAGGGGAAGTGACGTTTGTTTACATCAAGCACAACAATCTCTACCTCGTGTCACTGTCGAAGAATAATTCAAATGTTGCGCTCATATTCTCGTTTCTGCACAAAATGGTGCAGGTGTTCAGTGAATACTTCAAAGAGCTTGAAGAGGAGTCAATTCGGGACAATTTTGTCATTATCTACGAACTACTCGATGAATTGATGGATTTTGGTTACCCACAAACTACGGACTCGAAGATCCTTCAAGAGTTCATTACCCAGGTGCGAGGATTTTCTTAAAAAAATATTTATTTTTATTTAAAAAAACACCTTGTAAACAGCAAAAGGAGGAAGATCTTTGTGCCTCGTTTGTACCAATCGTTCCCTTACGCAAACAAGCTACCTGTGCTTTTTTTTCGAACATATTTAGCCTAACCTAGCATTATGTAAGTTATTGAAAGTAATTATAGCCGTCCTAGGATTTGCATCCGCTCAATCGATTCTAGCCCTTTTCTTTTTCACTCTGTAGGAGTCTCATAAGATGGAAATCGCACCAAAGTTGCCTATGGCGGTGACGAACGCAGTGTCATGGCGATCCGAGGGCCTAAAATATCGCAAAAACGAGGTGTTTCTTGATGTCATCGAAAGCGTCAACTTACTCGCCAATTCTAACGGGACAGTACTTAGGTTGGTTTTCCTGTGCAATACACGTGCATCAAGAATCCTATCTATATAGAAATGGCAAGCGCGGTCTATGAAAGGGAGGCCATGCTGAAGAATATGCGTCTGCGTGCGTCGCAGTGCTCATTGGCGACAAATTTTTCGAAGTCGTACCGGCATTTTCAATGTACTTGCTGGTTTACAGCATATCTACACTCTTCTGTCATGGAAGCTTTTTCTTTCGTTTAAAATAGTTTATTATGAATTACCTTGCTTTGCAGGTCTGAAATTGTGGGATGCATTAAGATGCGCGTCTATTTATCAGGAATGCCTGAACTACGCCTTGGGTTAAACGATAAAGTCCTCTTCGAAAGTACCGGCCGTAAGTATTTTGACCTGAAACCTCTAACTGATACAAATGGCTCTATTTTTGAGCCTACCGCCACGACTCAATAGAATTAATTCTGTTCTCAGCATCATTGTAGCAAGCGTCCTTGGTGTCTTCTTAAAAGGTTTTTATGATGTCCTTTAACTCCAGTTTCTAAATACGCATTCTATGCTTTGTTTTAACAGGAGGCAAAAGTAAAAGTGTTGAGCTTGAAGACGTCAAGTTCCACCAATGCGTCCGCCTGTCGCGGTTTGAGAACGACAGGACAATCTCATTTATTCCGCCCGATGGTGAATTCGAATTGATGAGCTATCGTTTAAATACCCATGTCAAGCCGCTCATCTGGATTGAGAGTGTCATTGAACGACACGCGCATAGTCGAGTCGAGTATATGGTACGTGATCGACCAATATTAGAAGTACATCACCTACTACTAATACTAATAAAACCATGATAACACTCTAAATAAATAGTTCACAAACTCCGGAAGCGTGTTGTACTAGGACTGAGATAGTCTAGGTCACAGCTATTGGAACCAATCATGGTGATTTCACGAGGGTAAAGGAAATGCAAATTTAGAAGTTTACGAATACTCGCAATCTTAAACGATCCTTTTTGCTATGTATGTTAAAAGGCATTAAGGTATCACTGGTAGTTATCATACGTTTGAGTACTTACACTGAACATAGAAGCATTCTAATTAATAAATCTAGTTTTTTCAATATTTCGTTTTTGAAATGCGTTTAGATATTGTTACTTCTGCGACTAAGAATGTAAAAAGCGAGCCTTAGTTGGATGTATTTGAATTCTGGATGCAGGTAAAAGCCCGCTCTCAGTTTAAGCGCCGCTCGACAGCTAACAATGTTGAAATTATTGTCCCAGTACCTATGGATGCTGATAGCCCAAAGTTTAAGACAACAATCGGTAGCTGCAAATATGCTCCCGAACGTAGCGCCTGCATATGGACTATTAAAAGCTTTCCGGTAAGTATAAGGACCAGTCAACACTATATAATATAAATAAAATATACCACTATATATATTACAATAGTTTATTATAACGATGCGGAGAATATCCGAATCATCTTTAAACGCATCCAAAGTATTAGAGTGCTCAACCTATGCAATATTATCGAATTCCGAATGTCAGTTTATTTTTCCATGTTACTGAAAGTAGGCCAACGTCATTGATTCAGATTGGCACCGATCGTGAAGGTTGTGTCCGTCCATAAGCTTCAGTGCTAAAAGATAATGAAACCGCTTTATTTTTTTTACTATAAAATATCACCTCTTTTCAGTTCTAAGATTTTCCTAGAGCTAACTATTAAAGAATAAATATCCTTTCTTTTTAGGGTGGTAAGGAATACTTGATGAGGGCGCACTTTAGCCTGCCGTCAGTCGAGAGTGAAGAAGTCGAAGCCAAAGCCCCCATTGAGGTGAAATTCGAAATTCCGTATTTCACAACGTCCGGTATTCAAGTCAGGTATGTTTTGTGTGTATCTAACTCAGTAAGAATTAAGCGTATATGTAACATGCACAATTTTCTGTAAGGTACCCATGAATGTATTTGAAAGAAATATCCTAAATTTTTCTGTAGTGACTTGGCATGGGTCGTATATTTTTCTGTAAACACTAGCTAAAAAGTTTAGATCAACTGACTTAGAATAGGAATTTATTTAAATAAACTTTAAATTCAACATTTTACTTTCATATCTTACAGATATTTGAAAATTATTGAAAAATCCGGCTATCAGGCTCTGCCATGGGTAAGGTACATTACACAAAATGGAGACTATCAACTTCGGACGAATTGAAGGACCACAAAGCACCAGCAGGATTTTCCAGTTACGTTTGAGTACGCCTAACCTGTTTCCGTGGGAAAACGTTTTAGGCTTATCAAAAACAATTTTTAGGCGAATGTGTATGAATATATAGAGAGACCTATTTTCGTGTGAGTCCAAGGATGTGTCTGTTAGAGAGTTCAACTGGCAAGACAACAATTGCAGCAGCTTGCAGAAGTTTGAGCAGGGTGACAAGGCTAAACGGCTTCAGGCGATAACGCCGAAGAATTAGTTAGCAGAGACAATGTTTATCGGTGATTTAGGGAGTGGCGACTTGTAGGGCGAAGTATTTTGTTACGGGAAGTGTAGTCGTAACAAGTAATCTAGTGAATGAGTCTTTTCAAATATCTTAAATCTTCATTCGATTGTAGAAATTACGAAGAAGACGACCGAAGATTGTATATTTAGCCGCTTGCATTTGTGGATCTCTTCAAATTTCTCTGGTACCTATTGCAATAAGTAGATGTTTGCTTAATAACGCGTTTATTCATTCAATGTAAATTAGCTGAAGCTGTAACCTAGAATGGCAAGAACAATAATTTTCAATTTGCGTGGAGTCGCTCGTAAAGTAAATAGGAGATCACTAACCTAAAGGTAGGTTATGTTTGCCTTAACCTATCATCATTTTCCGCCAGAAATTATTTAACGTATTTAAACGTAAATAACTGTATCATTTGTTTTATTTTTGCAATCGTGATAGATGACACAGACATATATCCATCTTTCTATATAAATTAGTGTGTAGACATTAGATCGAACTACAGACGCGTTTTTTTTACTTCAGTGCTGAATATTATGGGTTTGTGGCAATATTAAGATAATAACCGTAGATGTGTTAAGCTAACCGGCGATAAGCAAATGTTTTAGAATAGATAGTCTAACATTGCCGAGACGTAAACTTATTAGGTGTCCTAAAGTGTACCACGCAAATAAGGTGGTAAGGTGGTTATAATCCTCCACAGATTTCTCGTTCCAAAGACTCCTCATATATCGTGTGGATGGCTTCGATTGGTAGGCAGACTACAGTGGCGCCAACCTTCATCAGAAAGTCGTTCTTGGAAGGGAAGGGTGATTTCACATAGAGCAACTGAAATAAAAATAAGTTAAAAGTTCAAACAACAGGACTATATATATATATATATATATATATATATATATATATATATATATAACAAAAACTAATAGCCAGAGTGAAATAAAAGAAAGTTGTTACTATACTTGAAGCATTTTCTTTAGCTTTAACGATATTCACTTAAATAAATGATATCTTACGGTGCGTTGAAGATTGAATACAGTTTGCCTATTCCGCCCTTTCCCCAGTGTGCTTTGATGGATCTCGGGGCGAACTACTTATGGTATATTCTGCGAGCCTTAAACAAAATAATTAGCTTATTTTACAAAAACTAAACCTGCTTGTGACTCTGGCGCGTCTTGTTTTAAGATATCAGGTATTATTTCAAACCATTTTCAAGCCCTGGTTCTGGAGATAGTACTAGTGCTACTTTTCGTTAATTATACTGCGTCTTTTTCTATGCTACCCGCCTTACATCATAACTTTCGAAGTAAATTAGTGATAATTTGCTGAAGTGATTTTTCGGCAGCTGTGGTAAAGCCTTCAAGTGAAAATCAAAGGAAGTGAATTGATTTTGTGGTAAATAAAGGCTCAGAATGATCCCCATTCAGCGTTTCGAGTGTAGTCGGCGGGTGAATTATAAGGGACAGGCTTTGTTCAGCCATACTAATGGTCAAGCCAATGGAACCCGTTATATGTATATATTAATACTTAAACGACAAGTTCGAGGCTTGATTTTCTTTACCCCATACGTAATAATGCATGATTTTGATTACTAGCTGCCACATATTTGGAACTTCATATCCTGTAACAATTAAGTGGATTCAAGTTGTTTTCTCTAGCTTTCTGACTGATTCGCTTTTCTTTTCCCCCTTTACTGTTTTCGTCGTTTTGACACTTGAGACCATCAATTAACAATGAATATAACCATGTCAACAAAATCCTGTAATCCAGTAATTTAATGAATTTACATGCGGTTGTGGAGATAGAGTACTTATAAGTTGAAGTCTTGTGAAGCGAATATCAAAGATTCCGAAAGCATTCTGTACGCGTCGTCTTATTGAGGCAGTCGATGGAATATTGAAGGAGATAGTCTATGGAGTACCAGGAATAGTAACATCCCGATAGGGTAAGAATAACAGGGCCGAAAATATGTTTGAAAAACCAAGAAAAACTTCAAAGGCGCTATTTTCCTTGCAGAACTTTATACCATAAAGTTATTACATATGTTAGTGCGTACTCTTTATTCAAGACCAGCAAAACTGGCGCATATTGGTTTCGGCATTCCAAAATGTGTTTACAACTTCAAATCTTTTTATTTGAACAAAATATCTTCGTCATTTATCAGAAGCAGCCTACTTAAAGCTAATAATTCCACCGTAACGTTATAATTAAAAATATTTACTTAAATATTCGTTATGAATCCATCGGGTTACGGCCATCTCGTGGAGTCACGTAGTGTTTGCTTATCACGTGGTTATGTATGTTTACGTAGAAACGACATTTGGAAAGCACTCGATTAATTTTTAGTACCTTTTTTTTTTAAGTTGTGTTCATTTGAGGTTTTTTTCATCGTGTATCCGACATGGCAGTATAGGAGCTTTATACAAAAGAAGCTATATAACTCGATAAAATATACCTTCCTTCCTTCCTCAATTCAACTCACTGCTAAATATTAGCGATACCTTTAAGCATTTGACGCAATTGTCCGTTTTCGTACGTACACTTAAAAAAATCGGACTCTTCGTTTGATTCATCTATTGTTTTGCCCACCGCATCTAGTGTGATCTCAACGTGAAAAGGATAACGATGCAGGATTTTCCAAGACGAGTCCTGTTAGGAATATTACTTTAGTTGCGATAGTTTCAAACACCGTTTGCAATTTAGCACTCACCTATCGTATACTAATTCTATAATTATGCATTTGTACGTAAATCTCTAGGCGATCCATTGGTAGCTCGTTTTTTGATGTTCTGACCGACGTTTAAGCTCAGTAATCTTATTTCACGTTTTACGACCGTTACCACCACTTGGTATTCCACCAAGCGGTCGAGTCGAATTTTGTCAACGCTCGGATTCTAATTAGACAAGTCCCTCCAGTTTAGCAGGTAAACACTCTACCCATTACGCCATCGTCGACCGAAAGGTGCAAAACCTAGAACCATAATCCAAATAGGCGAAAATATTTTATCCGCCTTTCCGTTGGTCTTTTCGTGCAGTTTCTTTGTCAGACCATCCAGGCACTGCGACGGCGAAGTAATTTGTGTCGTTTAAAGCACGATACAACGAGTACCGGTTTACCGTGTGAGGCACAAAATTATAGGCAGAATAGTGTTGCTTTCGCTTGGTGCGGTACCATGGGCTGCGCTAGCCAACCAAATACAAAAACTTCTAACAGAAAATGACGGCCAGAAGCAATAAATGCAGTTCGTGTATATTTTGCGAATGATCTTAGTCTACGTGCAGTCGGTATTCAACAGGTGTCAGCATGAGACAAGCAAAGCTTGTGCACAATTAGGCCTCCGCGACGTCTTTTCGTTTAAAATCAAATGAGAATTCGCGTCGAAATTACGTCAGTGGTATCGCTTTACCATGTGATTCATCCAAGGGATGGCTTGTGACGAGGCGCAACATTAATGACATCTTTTACATATCGAAGGATCTAAGCTACACCGCATGTCGAATTTTCTGCGTTTCGAAAGCGGACATCGATCCCATGGCTGAAGCTAAAGAGCGCAAAACTATCTTCACTCTTCACTGAACATTTCTTCACTCTGAAAACAAAGCTTGTTTTCAGAGTGAAGAGCTAACTAAGCGGATCCACAGTATCACAAGCACTTTTGGCTGATCGTTATTCGAGTTTGAACACGTCAAGCCGAACAACTGTCCTTTAAATAATATGCGGTTATTTAGGTAACTGATAGTTTGGGTATTGTACAAAATTCTGTGCGTATATGTATGTATAACATAATGGTTCTCCACCATTTTTATGAGAGTTAAGAAAGTCGATATTATCCCCGAAACTGCCTCTTTCTATTAAATACTAATAATGATTCGATGTAAACTTGACAACAAACAAAAATCGCCAGCTGTATAAATCTTAGTTGTTTTATTTAGCGACCTATGCTTTGCCTTGGGTTTGGGAAAATTTCTCTTTCGATATACTTTAAGCGTCGGCTGGCGTTCTGCTAATATGCTTCAAAGGAATAATCTAGGCTCTAAAAGCAGCTCACATTAATATGAGACTTTAGTAGTTAATCTAGCCTATAACGACTCCTCTACGAGTAGTCAATACCTGACATGTCTGACACATGTGAAAGAAACTACCTTTATCCGTTTTCGGCCACTTCGGTACGGAACAAGGAAGTGCAATTTATCGATTCGATGAAATGTTTGCGTTATTTAAACAATAATACGACTGCGAAAACTGAAGACAGAAAATGATCCCGTCACGAAACCGCACGAAAGACGATGGAGAGGATGCGTGATTCAGGCGGTGGTGAGTTGTAACAATTGGAATGGCTCGCTTCTGCTGATCAGGTTCTTCATCGATTATACACTTGCTCGATGTCGGTTATCCGACCAAAATCAAGTAGGAAAAATCAGTAAGATGAATTTACAGGAAGAGATCATTCTTTGGTTCCGTTCATCGCTTGCGCCTTTAGCCCGTTTTTGGGATCGGCTGCGCATATCAAAAAGGTCTCATCCATTCCTCGTTCTCCGCTCAGCTTCTGCATCGACCCCGTTACAGAAGCTTCCCACGAATAGGTCCTTGCAAGCTTCGAACAAGCTAGGCGTGATGAAGGCTTACTTTTCCTTAATATATAGTTTACCTAATTAGTGAACGTCTTGCTAGTTATGCGTCGTAGATATACATTCGTGTTCGCTTTTGCTATTCAGAATGAAATGTTGAAACAAGCATTTTCATTTCAATGGTTCAGATTATTTCGGCGGCACAATGTTGCATACTAACTCAGTTAGTTCATTGACGATCTTCTTCGTCCGGAGTACGTTCAACAAACAGCTCAATAGTTACTATAAATACCTGATCTCATTTCTTACAATTGGACCGCGTATACTATACCTGAAGTTGTCAGGACCGAATCGAGAACAGCTAAACCTACCTAAATGTGAATATTTTTTCCGCAATTTCATGGGAAGTTCATGTTTGAATTTTACTGATTCAGTATCACCTGACGTAGTTAGCCTTGAAAAGAGACCAACCCTTGTTGTAAAAATGGCCGTCCTATTTTTAAAAGGTCGTCTCAGGCAGAGTAGCCAGCGCGGTGATTCTATTACTACCAACGGAGATAGAACGAGTAAATATCGTCCCTTCTGTAGGTACTTCATCTACTATGAGAACTTTCGATTTTCAGCCCATGTTTGCCGGTGACTATAGTACGAACAGCTGCGTAACGTTCACAGGACGTAACCATGTTCTAAATTACGTACTGTAAAGCTCGGTCCAGATGAACTCTACCGTTGTGACTGCTAAGGGTATACCGAGTGCATTCTTTCTATAGAAAGACTTTACCGTTTTTAGGACGAACTCGTTCGGGCTAAAAGGTGGATAAGGTGCATATTACTCAGATTATACGGCGAACAGTTACGTATGCTACGTATATAAACCGTTCTGGATCACGCTATGCAGTAGGGATGATTGTATGCGGAAGAAAAGGTACGAGGGGCAAGGCTGGGAATGAGTAGCAGCTAGTGAGCATCAGAGAACTGTGGACCGATAATAAGTATATAGGCACCAGTGCATCGAGGGCGAATCCGGTCTAGCATATGAGTATGTAATGGTGGTTTTTGTTGCATATGCAAAATCAGTCAACTTCATAATAGATTGTGTTCAAGGCGTCGTTGGAAGACCCTCTGTGTCATGAAATAGTTAGCATGCCAAGTTCCATGGTAAAGGAGCGATAGACAAAGCAAACATATAGTTGGACGACGAACAATTAAAGCCTGAGTAAAAAAAAAACACACATAATTGACAATGAACGGTACCGACAAACAGCAGATCTAAATAAAAAACAAATTAGAGCTAGTATAGCAGGAGAACTATGAAAACATTAGAGATAAGTAGCTGCGTATAACGGTGTGACGGTTCTTGTGCGAAATAGAAATTATACATATAGATAAGACACGCTCACTGACTCCGAAGGCAAAGATAACGAGTTTTATTTTTATTAAATCTTAACCGGCATGAATCTGTTAGCATATATAAAAAGGCCTGATCTTACTAATATAATAAGCCATCGTGCGTGGCAATAGCAATATGTTATTAGAATTACGCTTACGAAGAACCATGTATAGTGGTAATGCTGCCGGCAACTTTAGTTTAGCAAAAATTACTCGATTCTCTAAAGGGCCGCGTCCTCAACAGGCCTCGCCTTAACCATTCTCTAACATTACGGTGGTACGAGTTGACAAGTTATTATTATTAAATATTGTCCTGTAGCCAGCGTCCTTTAATTTTAACAAATATAGCCGGATAATGAAACCTAACCATATACTACTGTGAAAAAAACGTGATAAATTTAAAATCATCTATTATCGGCCGAAACTTCGATACATGCTATATAGCAACAAGCAGTTCTGAATCGTTTAAACAACTTCTAACAGTTACGTTTCGCTCGATATTGAAGTTTAATCCTTACAATACAGGTAGCGACATTTCGATTTCAACACGATCCGTAGGCAACTAGAGAGTAGGCAGAAAAGCTGCGTTAGGCGAATGAGATACTTAAGACAAGAACACTTTACAATTCCAAGGGATATGCGGCATCCGTGAGCTCAAACTAGAGACTTCTGGCTTTTCACGTTCAGCGTCTTTCGGTAGTTGAAGCGCTAACTAAATGCGCTCAGCATTGTATATCCAGTGACAGTTTATGGTCTGCTGAATCCCATAAATCTGCTGCAAGATGGAATACATTCTTGCATGCTTACTATAGTCAATGAGTTCTTCTGACTAAGGTCATTTGGATATGAGCCTGCATACTTTCATTTAAATAAAATATATTTTCGATTCCTTTGCGGTGGCAGAGGCTGTTGCTGTTATATGTGTTATAGTTTTACTACTAATGATCGTTATCAGTTGCCCCAATCATTTACTACTGCCTTAGGCACACAGTTATTGAAATAAGCTATATCAGGGATTACTGTAACAAGCCCATGCCTCAGAAACAATACGGCATTGTCCCGCGACCCATTTGAGATTTCCGTCTATCTATTCGATCCATTCTCCTCTAATTTAATGACCGCTGACTGTAGAGTGGGCGAAAGATAGGTATAACTATAAGCATTTCTATTTCCGTCTATATATGTTTATCCCTACCCTCTCTCTGGCCTTTCTTGGCGATATCTTTCCCCCAATCCTTTGCTAGTAAATTAGCAGCAAGCTTGCAGAAATCGTTAATACCTTGATTGTGTGCTATTGATTTCTCTCTTTGTTATACACTGTGCGCACCGTTTTTCGAGAAAACCGCTCGCGAAGCGCGCGCGTTCACCGCCATCGTATATGGACGACTCTACTGTCAATCTGGTGCCATTGCTGCCGGGCAGGCATCGCAGTAACGTCGCTACTGCGCTAGTAGAGCAGTCTCGCTATGTCTGCTAAAACAATTGTATGAGAGAGAGAGAGAGAGAGAGAGAGGGAGAGAGGGAGAGAGGGAGAGAGACAGACCTCGTATCATAAAAACAACAGCGGAATCTGTTGGTTATGGTCTTCATCAGCCTATCGCCTCACAGATCCCGCTCAGACCGGGTCGGCCGGTTTTGCTAATCAGACATCGCCTCTTCACACCCTCTGAGCGTTCATCGTAGGGCGTATTGTGGCAAGAGTCAGGAGTGGCTCCTTTCCTGTCTGCCCTCATGTCCTCCTACAGAGCCGGCGATTGTTATCTGATTTCCGGTGATTTTCGATCATATGCGCAATGCTACCTTCCTGCACTGGCTGGAAAATTCAAACTAATCCAGGTAGGGTATTCCGCATCAGTTGTTGTGAATAGCGGCCAGTGTAGCGGGTGACATCACATCACCTAAGTGCCGATCCAAGAGCGAGCTCGCTGTTATATAATACAACCATTGTCAGCACATCTCTGTAGCAAGTGACTGGCGTGGTTTCAGAAAATCGGCCCGAAAGTATCTTACGGAACGCCCAAATGCGGTGCAAGATGTAGAACTCGAAACCGGTAGTTTCGGTGGGTGTTGTAACGTTGACTACAACATCGCTGAACGAAACTAACGGTATTGTTTACGAAAATATTTAGTGTCGCGTAGACAGCGGAGCCGCGAAAAGCATTGCAAAGCTTGGCCAAGTCTCATCGAATGACATATATTCAGCAACAATAAGGACCAGCATAGTGCCTATGGTAGTATATTGCGATGTCACCGAGCGCCCGTGGTGTAAAAGTGAAAACGCAGGACCCAAGCGTGATTTACGTGACCCTTGCCTAGACTTTACTGTGTCGCCTAAGCTTCAAAATAGATAACCATTTGACACGATGACAGGTGTCATTCGCTGCCCGTAGCACGCCTAACATTCGGTAACAATTGAATAACCGGTAAGCGAAAGTAATTATCTATTTAAATAAATACCTGCAAACGGGAACAAGAGAGAGAATTGAGAAGACCATTTTTATTTTCTTATTCTTAGTTTACATATACTATAATTGTTCGCTGATACCTCGGTGCGGTAATTCGGTGCAGTTGCTTAACGACTTTTTTCTCATATCAGTATTTCTGTCATTTTGAAGTATTCGTGTTTAAAAGACGTTTTTGTATTTTGTTAGGGATTTTATGGATGAGAACGACTGACGGCCAATTCACTTCTACGTAATTGACACGCATTTAAACATGGTCAGAGATACAATAGTATCAGTAGTAAACTTACTTCCACGGAAGGTTAGTGTAACCGTACGAGCAGAGGTAATGGGCTTTTCTGCCTAAATTTATCGATACATGCTTCTGCCATAACGCCAATAGTTTGTTAGCGCCTAAACTAAGGTACCGATCTTGTAGATGCCATTGCATAAACCGTAGGAGCTCGGCAAAGTGGAAAAGCGTCATCTGGCCTATGACTGGTGGACGTATTGGTGGCTTCGAGCCTTTCCATTATAACGGTTTTGACTTTCTGCAATGCATCTACTTTTCGGACATATTTATTTCGAAGTACTGCCAATACAAACTTATAAAACGTAAATCACTGCACGTGGCTGTCTAAAAGCTCACGTAAAGAACTTTTACTGCCCATTTATTGATAGGTGGCTTCAACAGCAGGGTCGTAGATATGACAGGAACCAAAAAGCACAACGTGTTTTTGCTGGAATCATTCCGAATCAAAATTCGTCGTCGTCGTCGTCGTTGTTGTAACAGTAACATCTCCGAAACGCAGTGCCCTCCATCATCAGACCAACATTTGTCACAGTTATGTTTAAAAACTAAATAGGTGGCTAAAATAAGCTGTTCGCGCGTCTTACTCCGTATTCGGCAACAGAACGAACAGACCTGACTAAACGAGATTTTTTGGTCACAATGTTAGAAATTGAGTCGTCGAAATTTTCAAGTGCTGTATTATAGAATCTGATGTACAGAACGAACGAGATGGGGCAAAGTTGTTCCGATTGAACGCTGATCTAATTCTAAGAAATGCTCGTACAGCTGAGCCCGACTGATACACAGTCCCATTACATCCATGCATAGTCGATACAAATTTTCATTTACTGGCAGTGATCCGATACCAAAATAAAAGATTGGAAATGCACAAAAAAATCTGAGTCTGTCAAACATCTTTCGATTGACCCACGAATGAACAACCCACTGTGGACGGTAGCTGTTGTTATTACCTCATGATGCTCACCGAAATCTTCTCGAATCCCAATCTGTTCTTCGTTGGCCTTTTCGCAACTGACCGTAGGGTTACGTCAGACACGCAGAAAGGACGCATAGGAGACACTTGCATAAAAGCGTAAACCAATACTTCTATGACATTTGACCGTAGTGTATAGCATCGTACTCGTATCGTCACTGAACAGAAACGTAAGCAGAGCTGTTAAATCTTCTGAAGACATTTTTCCGTTATGAAGAGGCCTGTGTTCATGACGACTGCTGTCATCGGTGATAACAGCAGCGGCAGCAACATCATCAATAAACACAAATTGAACACAGCCAAGCCGCTACCAGACGTGAGACGCAAAAAACAATTAAACATAGGGCACAGAGCGGAATGAGGTTCAAAGTCTGCGTGAGAAGGCCGAAAGAGGACGAACAGAACAGTCAAATGTGAGCACAAAATTTCGGAAGAGAAAAGGTTTGCTGACAGAAGGACCGTGACTGAACGGCTGGCTAACCGATCGACGACGCCAATGACGTGAAGAAGACCCTCATACATGGTTTTCCTAGAACTCGGTTCTCACTCATCCCGCTTTAGTCATGGCAGGGCGGAAGGGCTGGCTGAAAGCAAACTGAAAATGTGAAGTTCTTTTTTTGCCACGTCATATGGGCGTGGGTGTCGCGGGCGACAGAAGATTATCAGTTACACAAAAAGGCTGACTGATTTTTTGCATCAACAGAGCGACAACAAAATCGATAAGCGATGTAAATTGAGAACATTCGCATATGTGTAGGAACCCCTTCGTCAACGCGATTTCGGTTTCATCTTGTGTCTTGACTTTCTCTCTCTTATGGCTTTTCGACCCTTCCCATCATTGAATGGTTGGCATTGAATGTAAGTCGCCGTCTACTCAATGTCAACAGAAAAAAAGAAAGCATGCAACACCCCCGAGAGGTCTTCCTGTCCTGGGGGATATTATCGCTGTCGATATACGCCCCCTAAAAGTGTTGAGAAAATAAATGAAATCATATATCGTAAAATCCTTTTCGTAAATCCAAATAAAAACATTTTATAATTAACCCTATTTTGTTGGTTTTACTCACCAGCGTCCAGTGATGTTTTTATAAAATCTTTCGTGTAGGAGCGCAGGAGCAGCGAATCACTTCTGATCAAAGAGCTCTGGAAATTCAGACGAATCTTCCACTCTTCGTTCAACCTTCTATTGAATTGTTCATAATGACAATAGCTCAGATACGAAAATACTTATACTGGAAAAAGTGCTTGCAGGTCACTAGTGTAGTACAGCCAAAGTGCGTGGTTTACTATAATGAAACCGAAAATATGGTTTTGCCTCTTTTATTTACACACGGTAAATTCATAACGGAATTACGTGCCACTGAATTTATAATAAATGGACTCCACAGATAGGCTTTAAATGAGGCTATAATATAGGCGTAACGATTTACCTGCTATGTAAACTCTATGCACAATAAACCTAAAGACTAAGGCAAAACTATATTTAGAATATTTTGACTGATGGGGTAAACCTATCAGCAAATAGCTTAGCCCGTTTAGGAAACGAAGAAAATAAAGTTTTTGCTATTTCTAAACTTTATCGCGACATAATTGAACACTGCTGCTTTCGCTTTCATCATTTTACCTGAATCAAGTTAAAAAGCTAGCTGTCTATTTCTTGCTTTTGTCTAAGGTTGAAAAACGACCTGAAGATGTCAGAGGGGAAACAGACGGTCTGATTGAACTTTTTTGTTTTTTTTAATCAAAGATTTTTCTCCTGTTCGTTGCATTGTTTTGACGTTATCATCTTATGCAGAATGCAGCAGTCGTGTTAGTCATAGCCCTTTCGATGAAAACCGCCAAATATCTGTGACTGATTATTGTTTGCCTATGGACAGAAACCGTGTCCTTTTAAGTTTAGTATGGTTTAAAAGAAGTGACTGCCAGATATTCCATCAATGTTACTACTAATTTTATGGTTTTTCTTTACCATAGCGTGCAATTAGACAGAGTTCGTTGAATAAGGCGGTGAGATACAGTTAAGTATGTACGTTATGGATAATGGATCAACGCTACCGCTAATGCTAACACTGCTTTTACGTGGGTATAGTGAGCCAAGGTTTGTACCAATTATTACTAAACATGTAAAGAATTTACGGTCGCATTATTCATACTCGAGCAATAATTTTAAGTCAGCTCGGTAAAAAGCGCAGGGATTTGGTCTACGAGATGGCCTGCGTGGAAGGTGGTAGCCTAACCTCAAAATATAAAAAGAGACCTTCCGCCAGAAACACTCTGTGTTATCCACGCATGCTGAAGTTATTGTAGGCTAACCTGGAACTATAAAGGTTTATTGGAACCGCGTGAGATGAATGAACGGTTTAGAACTAGTAATCACGTGAAGTAGAGCAGCCGTAAGCACTAAAAACCACAGGGGTCTTTCAGGTTTAATCCACTACGAAGCAGACTACTAGCGGTATTCCAAGTAAGATGTATGCATTTGTTACTGGCAGGCAACGTGTTAAAACGTGTTGAAGGCCCAAGCCAGCTGTCGGTCATGCGAAGCTATTTCAGAAGTTCTCGTGCATTGCCGTGGCATAGTCCCATTCACAGGTTTTAGGTAACGCACACGATAGCTGTTATTATATATATTACGTATGTTTCTGTGTCTAAATAGAATTGTTGTTTTTTCTTGTTTAACTCTCGAGTGAACAGTTTTCGTTCTGCCCGCTTCGTACGCCGTCCCGGTGAGGGTGGGGTCATAACGCGTTTGTCCATCAACCGGAGGGCACAGAGGTGCTATAGGTCCTCGGATATGAGATCAAAGATTCGATGAATATAGTAAAACATAATCATACTTCTTTCTCCTGTAACAACCCACCAGATTGCATGTGTTCGGCTCCGTGCGCTGACAAGTCCTTGCAATTAAGCTGAATCAGGCCAGCTGCGTGTCGGATATGGTAAGAATTCTATTTTTTTATCACAAAAGAAAACACACAGTTGTTTCTAGACTCTAAAAGCGTCAGCCCATCTGGAATACCCATCATGGCAAACTTTTATGCGCCAAGTTTAGTACGCTATATCAAATACCTTTGTCGACACGCATCTCACACCGGCAATAGTCCCATATATCCACTATTGGGTCAGCGGGTTGGATTATGCAAAATAAAGTCGGATCAAGTTCGAAACCAGTACTAAATGAAGGTAACCTGAATGGTATCCTCTATCGAAAAATCCAACGGATGTAAATTAGCTGGAATATACATTATGGGAATTTTCTAGATATCCGCTATTATAATCGGAATTCAATTGGTGTGTATAATTGTTCACGATCAGTTAACGCCTTCTAGTTAGTTCTAAGCACATTAGTATAGTACGTTGACTGTACGTTTAAAGATGAGTATGACATGATATCAGTAGGCCCATATCGCCTTTCCTTCATCTTAAAAAATTTCGAGGAAGAATGGTAATACCCGTAAAAAAAGATAGTATATTCCGCGGCAGCTGCAGTTTTCGCATCAGCTCGTATCATATTGGCGCGGTATGTACTCCCCTTACATGAAGCATGCGTAGAGAAGCGTAGGCGCAGATATCAAAGTTTGCAGTCCCGTAGAATGAACCGACATTTCAAATTCTGCAAGGCGCCACCATATCAGCCTGTCTTGGCGCACATTCAAGGTACCTGAAAAAAGTGCGAAGCTCAGCAAAGACCGAGCG